TTGCTGCAGGACCAAGTGCCACGCCGTCCGAAGCGGTAATGAGCAGAGGCATGACAGCAGCGCTGTTTTATATCTTTCCAGGCTCAAGCAGAACGATGTACAACCAAATGGTACTCGATTATGATGACTGGGTTAGGGAAAATCGTTTATTTCATGAAAACAGAGATAAAATTATCATTTGTACATTTTTGAAAAAAAAAATATTTATTTCAGCAGATTTGTAATGTAATATCCTATCCATTGGCGTATTTGGATTTAGTTTCATTTATAAATGACAAAGTTACAAGCGTTCAAAACCTAACACTATTTCACCATACATATTTTTTGATTTGCACCCCAGTATAGTCAACAAAGACGTAGTTCTACGTCAAAAAATAGCAGTAGTGATTGTTTCTAGCTAAATTTATTTTCATCCATATTTTATGAAAGTTTTTCTACGTTAAATCAGTCAATAAGTATGCAAAATCATGATATTGCATTGAAAATGTGTCACTTTTATTTCTAATATAGCATAATGGGCCGTGGAAAGCATTGTAGCGAAGAGTGGTGGAACGAGATAAAAATGTTAATCAAGCAAGGTAAATCTTACAAGGAGATACAGGAAACAGTGGGATGCTCCGCTAAAATGATAAGCAATGCATTAAAATGGAAAGCCAAGGCTGAAAGTAGAGGCCGGAAGCGTTGTACTTCCCACAAAATCGACAGAAAAATAATAAAACTGTGCACAGATTGATCCAACTACGTCCTCCAGAAAAGTTAGATTTGATCTGAACCTTAGGACTGTCACTATTAGACGACGATTGATGGAAGCCAAACTGTATGCCCGTAGTCCCCGGATGGTACCGCTGTTGACAAAACGTCCAAATCGTATGAAGTTTGCTCAACTCCATGTCGACTGGTCCAGGGAACAATGGCGAAACGTTTTGTGGACTCAATATGTAAGCCGTCCACCTGGCACGGAATACCAACCACAGTATACGGTGAAGACAGTAAAACATGGCGGAGCAAAAATTATGGTTTGGGGATGCTTTTCCTACTATGGTGTTGAACATGGGTACATCAAAATCCTTGATGAAGTAATGCTGCCTTATGCTGAGGAGGAGATGCAGGACAACGATCCAAAATACACAAATAAACGTACTAAGACATGGTTTCAAGCGAAGAAGATTGTGGCCAGCGCAATCTCCAGACCTCAATCCAATTGAAAACCTGTGGGGAGATGTCAACTATGCAGTTTTTGAAGCCAAGCCGAAAAATGTGGAAGAGTTGTGGTCGGTAGTTCACGATTCCTGGGGGCCGCAATACCTGTATTTCGATGTCAAGCACTTGTGGATTCAATGCAGCAACGATGCGTGGCCATTATAAAAACAACGGTTATGCTACAAATTACTCAAGTGTATTCGTGAGTTGAAAGAAGTTGATAACCGATTATCGTTGTATTTATGGATTCCTAGTGTTGAACTGATATACTGCTATTTTTTTTGAACAGTGACTATTTTGAATCTACTAAAATTCTGATAACAAATAACTGAATTCTTTAAAATGAAACCCTGTGTCAGTGTATTGAAACTTCTTGTAAATGTTGACTTTGAAATAAATTTCGGAATAATGCATAAACTTGGAATTATTCCACTTTTTATTTGTTTAACTAACCACTGCTGTTAATTTGAACACAACTGTATATTGCAACAGAGGCTAAGTTGATAAAGGAAGGTCATTCGTCGAAAACCGCAAGGTATGGCAAAATCTTAAGTGATGAAACAAAAGACGCAGTCATACATGTTTTTGAAGATGATGATATAAGCCGAGCAATGCCTGGTCTTAAAGTTTACATGTCTGTGCAGAAAGAAGTTAATGACAAACCATTCAAAAAAGGTTACTGTAATGATAATGGTGCCAGAATATTCGATGTTTATAGAAAAGGGGTTTCGATAAAAATAGAAAGGAAGAGCATTTACAATTAAAAATAAATTATGCATTATCTGTCAATATGTTTTCCAAATAAAATAAAAAGTACTGAAACATGTTTTTTTTTGTGGATGAGGGATCAACTAGCCTGGGGCTCAAAATCTCGATAAGGATAAATATTTTGCGGATTTAAGTTGAAATTTGAAAACGAGACATCATTTCCTATATGGAATGGGTTGAATTAGCACTGTTGAAAAAATAATAATACATTGCAAAAAAGGGCTTGTTTGATTGATATGATGTTTTCAGGATTATTGTGCATAATTATGATGCGATTTTTGATAAAATATACATTGTTTAAAATTTTTGGTTTTTGTTTAAGAATTTTATCTACAAATTTATTAAATTTTTTAAAAAAATTAGCTTTTAGAGAAATATATTTTTGTTATAACTAATCTAATTTTTTCCATAGAAATAAACAAAAATTGTCACAGTATAATTTTTTACAGAATTTATAAATTAATATCTACAAGCTTTCTCAAGACACCATATCAATCGAACACACCGTTTCGACAATATTTATATTTATAGGAGTTATCCTTAGTACTGTTTTTACACAGGCCCTGTTGGAAAAGTAGCCGTGACCCAATATGAATAATTGGTAAGATAAAATGACATTTTTTTTCTAAAAAGTAACTGTGAAAAGTTTCAGCTAAATTGGATAGGATCGATTCGCGAGCCTTCGTGGAATGCCTCTAATTAGCCTCCTTCTCTTCCTACTTCTTCTTCTTCTTCTTCTTCTTTACGTATTCTCAAATTAGTGTTCTAGATACACTTTCACAGTTATTAATTGAGAGCTTTCGATGCCTGTACCATTTTTGCATTAGTATAATTGTGTGGCAAGTACAATCATATCCAGCGTTCAGAATCACAAGGGCCTAGCTGCAATGACCAATTCTCTTCATTTTTTTTTTGTTAATAACTCGGCTGGATTAACATTTAGTGGTGCATTTGATGTTGCTTTTGCTAGCTAATAAAATCCATTTTCTACGCTGTATTGGACAAATTTCGGAAAATTGGTTCACTCTACTGTAGTAATGCGAAGAGAAAATCGATGAAGAGAATCGATCATTGCAGTTAGGCCCTTATGATTTTCTGAACGCTAGATATACTCTATGCCTAAGGAAGTCGAGAAATTTTCCTTTTAAATACTCTATTTAACGTCGGTCTCTGTTCCGCAATCTAGTGCCAATCACCGATGGACATCGATTGCCATCCATCAACGGCAATCGAATGTGCAGGAAGGCAGCTTTCACACACCTGCGTTGGATATCGCACCCATTCAACACACATGGGCCGGGACCAACGGCTTCACTTCCCTTCCGAAGGAAGACGTGACCAGAGATTTCTATGCCTCCAAAAAATCCCACCGACCTCGGCTGGGATTGAACCCAGACCCATTGGGGTGAAATAGCAGTCACGCTTACCACTACACCACTGGCGCCAACTGAGAAATTTCCTAACCCGAAAAACTCCTAGACCGGACCGGGAATCGACCCCAAGCATGGTCTTGCTTTGTAGCTGTGCCTTTTCCGACTGAGCTAAGGGAGGCACCATTATCCATTGAGCCTGATAGCGGTCGGCCTAGTGGCCGTAACGAAATGTGATACCTACAAGAAAGTATCTCGAAAATATCGAAATCAGCGGCGCCGGTGGTGTAGTGGTAAGCGTGATTACCTCTCACCCCAGCAGGCCTGGGTTCAATCCCAGTCGGCGCCGCCGGGATGTTCTGAGGCATAACATCTCTGATCACGCCTTCCTTCGGAAGGGAAGTAAAGCCGTTGGTCCCCGGTTCATGAGTTGATGGGTCGATAGGTAGGGTCCAGGTGTGGGAGCTGCCTCTCTGGCGTCGGTAGCATTGGTGCTCAGCACGGAAAACAAGATCGACGGAAAACAAATCAAAGGAAAAAAAAAATATATATCGAAATCGATAGCGATGATGTCAACCTCTAAAAAGAGATTTTTGTGCTTCCTTCTTCTATTTCATGGTGTTTTCACCTTTGCCCAAACGCAGCGCTACCTTGGAGTTTCGGTAGAGCTGCTATTCAGTCTACGTCTCTGTGTTGTCTTAGATGGAATGTGCGAATCAGTCGGAGCTGTAACATGGGCGGAAGGCGGTTTCAGAAATGCCTTACGTAAGCATGAACAGATCAGATGTTGAAGATCTTATGGGGGTTGAAAAACCCCCAGAAAAACTGTTCATGACACTCACACTGACAAAGGGCTATTCAGTGATTATGTAGCTGAATAGCCCCTTGTCAGTGTGAGTGTCATGAACATTTTTGGTAACAACGGCAAACGCAATCTTAAAATCTGAATGACCCTACTAAATAATACTGCAGCCCGGACTCGGCCGATTACAAAATAACCGAACCCATATGGTACGCTAAGCCCGTCCAGCCATCACATGGCTGCTGTGGCTACGTTGGAAGTTCCCTTGGAATATCTTTGCATTCATTGGGACGGTTCCAGTCGGTCACGGTGTGGCCGGAATAGCAACAATGCTCCATCGTTTCGCTAAATAATGTGGTTCAAGTTTGTCCGTCTGCAATGTCTTAGAAGCCTCAGCGACAGAAGCGATCTTCTGTTTACATTTTGCAGTTCTTTCAAATTCCAGCGATCAAGTTTCTGTTCGGTTTTTCTCTGAGTAACTATTCGTCATTTGTCTCTCTCGCTCCAGTCGGTGGCACCGATGGTTCGATGACACACACATCTTATTAAAATTCATCGTCTGCCGATATGTCGTGATGGAACGAAAGTAGCGGATGGCAGCAGCTGCCAAAGAGAACGAGAGAAACTATCAAGAAGAGTCATTTTAACATTTGCGGCCGCATTCGTCCAACTTCGAAGCAGAGTCGGAATATTTAAATCACCACTGACAACCTCACTTACTGCACTGAACCAAATCAATCAAAGCTATACAGTTTCTGCCGTATGATTAATTTGATTGATTGCATTTATGTATATTAGCACACGGTTTGTTGGCCGTCAACGTTAATGCGAAATCTTTCTTTTCCCTCTCTTGCTTTCAGATCGAATCCAAACAGGATCTTCTAATCCATCGCGTGCGTGCACCTCCGTGTCTGGAGAACAATGTTGCAAACTTGCAGCTTCCAAGAGGGCTGTTCACTTTCCCGCCACGGTTGCAGCGACCTAGAAATACCCGTAGTAAATGTTTTCTGAATGCATCGTCTCCGAAGAGTGTGTTGGGTGCATTGTCTCTCTGACTGACCTGATCCCGACAATATCGAGCGCTACTGTAGAGTGCGATATTCCGTGAGTTCTTCACCGGCGATAGAGAAGCCCTGACGCGCGCTTCCGGACGATTGTAGCTCGGTCAACATTGTTGTTATTTTCCCATTAAGATTTATAGAACGTAGTCGGATCCACTGACTGCTTCCGCCGATTCTCGGTTCGGTCCATAGCTAGCGATTGAGTATTAAAGCGGAAGTAATTAAAAAAAAAAAAAACACTTGGTTTATCCCTGTACGGTTGATGGTTTCGCAAGATCGCTGGATGGAGACGATGTCCGAATCGGGGTATGAATGCAGGGGGGACGGAAACGGAGCGTCCAGCAGCAACACGCTGAACCCGCGGACACCGCCCAACTGTGCCCGCTGCCGCAACCACGGCCTGAAGATCGGCCTGAAAGGGCACAAGCGCTACTGTAAATTTCGCAGCTGCAATTGCGAGAAGTGCTGTCTCACCGCCGAACGGCAGCGGGTCATGGCCCTGCAGACGGCCCTACGCCGGGCCCAAACCCAGGACGAGCAGCGGGCGCTTAACGATGGCGAAGTACCTGCCGAATCGGTACATAACATTCACATACCCAAATTATCAGAACTAAAAGAGATGATGCATAATTCTCAGCAGAGATCGTTGATCGACTGCGACTCGTCCACCGGATCGATGAACTCCACCCCGGGCAGCTCCACGATGGCGCTGGCACTACACCGAAGATCACCAGGCGCCGGACCGGTCCATCCCAGCGAGGCACAACACATTACAGGTAAGTCGGACACAATTCTACTTATTTTACTCATCTACTCTGACTGACTGGAATTCAACACACTGCCGTATCTTCACGGTGTTTGTATATTTATGATAATTTTCACTTGACTCCTTATCGATGGCGATTAGAGGAGTGGTGTGAGCAACCCCGAACTGGTTTGCCCGGGTGCGGCAGCGCCAAAGAGCTGGACATAATTAAGCAACCATCATCGCAATCGCAATCGGGTTGAATTATGATTGGCTTATGGAAGTAATTCGATGACAGCGTGCGACAGCGGTAGAAATTACGTATTGATTGAATGGGCTTTGATGCCGGTAGGATAGCGTTTCTCAATCTTTCGGTAGCAACACACCAGCCTTATATGTAGATGGGTCACAGGAGCTGAGGCAATTTGATGATATAATGGAAATTTAACTAAAATTTGAACCCATTTGTGTTGTTGGTTTGTCGTTAATACAAACTGGTTTATCTTTCAAATTTGTCGAACCTCTTAATGGAATCCCTTTATGAAGAGCTTTGGGTGTGTTGGTTTATTTCTTTTAAATTCCGTTATAATTGCTTATATTTTGACAGATAGGCGTATTTCGACTACTACTTGCAGACTTCGTTCCTAAAATTTGCCACAATTTACAACAAATCGTCAACCTTATTGACGCTGGGTGTCGAATACCTGGAACAACCAGGAACATCAGGGAATATCAGGGAACTTACTTTTGGGCCTGGAAAATCAGGGAATGTCAGGGAATTTCATTCAAATTCATGGAAATATTTCTAAAATCACAGAAACTGATTTATAAGTATGACTGGCTTTGCTAGTTTCAAACAACTTCATTCCTCGGTGTAGTTTGAGGATGGATGTTGCATTCTTTCAGGTTGATTTGAATTGATTACCGGTCGAAAAGGCATATGAATTCTGCATTTCTTAATTGTTCGCTACATACCTAAAGAGAACTTAATCGTACTTTGACGCGAAGCGCTGTGGATTATGAGATGCTGGATGACCCTGGAGGGATCGATTTTGTTTACTGAGCAGAAAATCATGGATTTAACCCCAAGATCTTCCACAGCACAATAAATCGCCACCATCATTTGTATATTTGATATGGAACATTAACGTCGGAAACTATTTGCATATCAAGCGAAAACGTAGTCCTGTATTGTCGCGAAGCGTTATGGTTTTGAGATGCTCGATGACCCTGGAGGGATCGTTTCTGTTTACTGAGCAGAAAATCATGGGCTTAATCCCAAGCTCTCCGTCATGACTCTTAAAATTCATGATCACTAAACAAAATGAATATTTTCTTTCGATAGTCGGCTATCGAGAGATTAAATGAACAACAAATAAACAATACATACTTTTGGTTGCATCGCCAGCTCGAGGTGAATCCTAACCGAATATCCTACCCAACCCTCCAACTCCGTAGCACTTATGAGGGTGTCGCTAAGTCGGTGGCCTCTCGTTAAGTAAGTGCTACATCAACATTTCCTTCCCTATCCCTAGTTATGGTAAAGATGGGCGTGGCCGGGAATAGCGACAGTCATGCTTCTGTTACTCTTGTTTAGATTGGAATCAATGTTTACTCCCCGCATTATTCCTGAAAGTAGTCTAGCTGAGAATTTCAGAAGAGACGTGAGTGTCGCTAGTATCCAATGTACGAAGTATATCATAACAACGCTAACGCTAACAGATGTTGCATTCTTTCAGGTTGAGCAAAAATTCCTCAAATAAAAGGATATTTCGATTATTTTGGATCTAATATAAATTCTGGCTCCCACTGTGTGTTGGCACATTCTTGAGTTGAACTGAGAGCCTGAAGGTTGTTAAAAATCCATTTCCGTAGGCGCTGAACGTTCTTAGTTGTTGCAAAATTTAACCTCCAAATGAATAAATGTTACACCTAATTGCGTCTGACAAAATTTAACCTTCGAGTTGCTTGGTGAGACTGGTCGATCCAGCTGTGTCCTACAAAAATCAATCCTTTGAGCTCATTGGAGTGCCTTTGAGTAAATGCAAGAACGATATTTCAACAAGTTGATGGCTCCTTCGGTAGTGATGATGATCCCCCACCTTTTACCACTACAAAGGTTTAAGCTGGACGATTTATCTTGAAGAAAATTAAGTACGAAATCTTAACCTACACCGGGATCTTAAACCTTTTGTTGCAATTATAAAATCTTTAAAACTGTTCAAAGTCTCAGAGTTTCAATTTTTTTTACCAAATCCTGATGTGAATGTTGAATGTCAGTGTCCGGGACCTTAACATACTTTCGATGTCTGAAACAACCAGATAATTTATAGATTTCTGAAAGATAGTTTTTCATAGGACATTCAGTCATTTTTCTCAAGAATTTCCTCTGTCCAGGTTTTCAGCATCAATTTGTGAATTAGAATTTTAACCAAATGAAAGACTTGCTCTTTTGCTGCATTATTGAAATCAGCTATTCGTCTTTTTGATTACTCAACAATATTGCAAGTGGATAGCTCGTCCCTACTCCAATCCGGATGTAATTTACAAAACCTTAAAGTAAAATATTCAAGATGCCGGGATTTGATTTTTGACGGTTTCAAATCAAATGATAACCATGCGATTCTTATCCTTATTCTCAGAATTTCCGTGTAATTCTGCTCAGCATTATCATGGCATGCTTGTTACAACTAACAGAAATCTTTGCTTGTAATAACCTTGGAATTCGCTTTGGAATTCCATTGAAACTCTCCTAAGAATTTCCACGGAATCCTCCTTAGATTTTTTCCAGATTATCCTGAGTATTCTATCCCTTTGAAATTCTTCTAAATGTTTTCTTTGAGCTTTCAATTCAATTTTATTCTATTTCTAATTTTCTAGTCAAAACTCACCCCGGAAATCATTCGAAATTCTCTTCAGAAACCTTTCGGAAGTGTCTTCAGATATCCCTTGACATTCTCTTAGAATTTTCTTGGAAATTTCCTAAGAATTTCTTTTTTAATTTTCCTCCATTTATTTACTTAATCTCAGAATATGATTCCTATAGTATTTTTCTAGGAATTCCCTTGAATCTGTTTCCTTAAATTCAGTTCTTAATTCTCTTGAATGCTCATAAGAACTATCTTAGGCTTCTCATTAAAATTAACCGTCTGTTCTCCTCCTGATCCCCATACAATTCTCAACAGATTTTCCTTGGAATTTTCCTTGAAGTGCTCCTCACAACTCCTGCGGAATTATTCTTAGAATAGCATAGTAATTCAATTTAGAACCTAATTTTTACTAGGTTTCAGATACAAATCCGCGCCAAATAAAAAAAAATCGTTTACATTGCTTAAAAATACCATTTGTATGACTACTACATGTCATTGCAAGCCTATTGCTTATACCATATTAGCTATTTGCCTGCCCTCAACTTAGTGTTCTTTGAAGCACTTTCATATTTTATGCCCAAAAAATTCGAGAAATTTTCCAACCCGAAAAATTAAAAGACCTGACGGGAATCGAACCCAGCCGCCTTCAGCATGGACTAGCTTCGCTACTTACTTTACTTTTGCTGGTCCGACGTCCCTCAGGATTTGACAATGTTGCGCCAACTAACTCGATCTTGCTCCACTTGGTCCAACCACCTAGCACGCTGCGCTCCTCTGCGTCTTGTTCCAGCCGAATTTGAGGTAAATACCATTTTTGCGGGATTATTATCCGGCATTCTTACAACGGGTCCCGCCCATTGTAACCTTTAGCTTTAACGAATTTATGGATACTGGGTTCACCATAGAGTTGCGCCAGCTCGTGGTTCATTCTTCTCCTCCAAACACCGTTTTCATATACCCCGGCAAAGATGGTCCTAAGCACGTGTCGTTCGAAAACTCCCAGTGCTTACAGGTCCTCCTCGAGCATCGTCCACGTCTCGTGCCCGTAGAGAACTACCGGTTTTATCAGCGTCTTGTACATGGTACACTTCGTGCGGAGTTGAAGTTTACCCGTCCTTAAGCCGAAGTGAATCCAATGGCGTTTGAATCGTGTTTCAATGCATTAGCCCTAATTTAAAATCCGTAGAATCCGTAACAATATCTCAAAAATTTGTTTCTCTTTAGCAAATCTCACGGTACGTATGGAAAGATAAATCAATTTAGAAGTCATCTGCAGTGAAAACCTTCCATTTGGTTAAAAAATCCACTTCAAAAAATAGAGTCAAAGGGCGGGTTGTGCTTAGTAGGCTTAAAATAAGATCTAAGCCATACCGTTTTCTTTTTGAAAATGTAGAATCACAAACATGTCTTAGACAATAAACAAATGTTAAAATAATAGAAAGACTACGGAGTGTTAAAATTTTCCCTAGATTTAAATCAAGCTCAAGATTTCTAAAACAATTGTTCAATTCAATCTCTCACTCTTCACAATTCAGTCTATTCAGACTCGATAGGCAAATGACGGTACAAAAATCCATCAGTATATTCTAGGGCACAGCACAGTCAACTCTCCCTTACTCGATATTTTTCCTAACTCGATGAAATTCAACGTCCTTTCAATTTTGCAAGTAATACTCTCCCCCTAACTCGATACCTTCTTCACTCGATGTGTTTTGATTAATTTTTCCATGTATTTTCCCCTGTCTAAGCCAATTTTATGTATGTTTTATTTATAATTATGTTTTAAAAGCCGTTGCAGTGAAATTATATAGATTAAAAATAGAGTTTAATTGTAGATCTACCGTGAACGTTCTGGGTTGCAGGATATTGTATTCAGCGACCACGGTAGACGATGTAAAGACTTATTTCCCTTTAGGCTTATTACAGGTGTCTTTCGCTGGATCGATTCTTGCAAAGTTTTTAGAAATTGAAATGTTTTTTTTTTCTCCCGGTGCGCCTTTTTGTACCAAGGGTATATAATTGTACAAACTGCAAAAACTTGAGACACACAGCTGCTTTTTGTGACAACAAGCCCCGTTGGCATCAGCCGCACAAAATGAAAATACTTTTGAGATTTTGTCTTCCGATGAACTAGACGCGGACATAGCAGATGAAAGTGAGT